AGCCAGCCTGTGTGTGTTAAGTGTGGTGACCTTTTTCCAAGCTGCCATTGCATTGCTGCAATACATTAGCACTGGATTTTTTTTTTTAAGAGTAGCTCAGGAAGCCAATACTGCTGATTATGTAACACTAGATTAAGCGCTCATGAGGCAAGAATAAGATTGCTTATCTAAACCCCCAACCTAAAATTAAATAAAACTTTATCCTAAAACTCGCTCTGCAGCTATTTTTGCTCCCAACTAACCAAACACAATATAGTTACTCTCAGCCATAAGTCTCAACAGCAATCAGTTTGGGTAGAAAAAGATTGCTGCCAGATAAGCCAATAGTTTGCCTAAAGACATGGATAATACATATTCAGTAGTTACGTGTACAAGTAACAGGACACATTGCAGGTGTTTTGATCTAAGGGAACAGACTATTTTCATGACTCTCATAAATGTTGTGGTTTCCAAAGACTAAGCACAAAGGCATCAGCCAGGAAGTAAAATGGGTAGATTAATTGCCGTCTGTCTTGTCCCTTCTAGCTGGCAAAGCTAAAGGGAAGATGTCAACTGAGCCTCAGTGGCCCGTGTGGACTAAACACTGTGCCCTCCACAAAGCCTAGCCATCCCCTCTTTACACCTTTCACTCAGCAACCATGCAAGGACTGTTGTGCTACAGCCTGGCAGGGGCAAGACGGGTCCCAATCATGGGGAAAAACAAGCTGCCTTCTGCAAAAGTCACACTCATTTAAGGATCTCGGTACACTTCCCAAAGGTAAGTTTCATTCACCTTTTAAAGCTGGCTAAGAGAAGCTACAAGAAGTTTAGGGCCTGACCCTGTGAGATAGCGAGCATTTCCACAACGTTTTAGTGGAGATTCTGCATCTTTCCAGGAAGCAACAGGCACCTTAGCACCACCCTGATGAAAATACATTGTCCTTGAGTGTCTTACCCATGGCCCCACATACTGGCAAAGACCAAAAAAAATTTTTTTTTAATAAAAATGACCCGTGTGCTTAATCTGACCATGTGTCCTACCTGACAGCATGACTCCATGTTCTCTCTCTCTCTCCCTCCTGTTCCAACCTAGGGATATTCTCAGTTTCCGGTAAACCAAATAGCAAAGTTGCCTAGCCTGTTTTTCAACTCCAGTGCTTTCCCAACAGGAAGAAGGATTCCAGAGTGTAACTCCCTTCTGCCTTTCTCTTTACCATTGGTATAGCCCCAGCAGTCAACTCCCTACTTTAGAAGGGCACAGGATGATATGCTTCCAGCCTGGCAGGCCTGAAAGTCTCTCTCTCAGGCCTCTCACTATGCAATTTCAGGTAACTTAATGCTATCATCTGGGAGATGCAGAGTGAAACAAAGGTTGGTAATAGGGGCTTACACATTCTCAAACAAAGCCTCTAACAAAAGTACCAGATACAGAAAATGTCCAGTTCAAGCCAAAGCAAAATGGACAAAAGTGCTTTCTCTGTGTCTGCAAACCTTAAGTAAAATTTTCCAGAGGCTCTAAGCCATTTAGGGCCTAAATACCATTTTCTAAGATGACTTAGACTTCAGTGACAAGTAAATGGGGTTTGAGGAGGTTGGGAGGGTTGCAAATTTTATACTGGGGGGGTAGAGAAAGAGTCAAAAACACTGCTACCAGGAGTCTTGGATTCCAGAACTGATGATTTCATTCTATCAGTGCATTAAACAGAAGTGAAAGGGAAAATATTCATGAGGAGGTGGGGGGAAAGATGAATAGAAGAAAGGAGAGAGAAATATGAAGTTAAATTACAAAAATGATATTAAACCAAATTTACATACAGACTCCTTCTCTAGGGTACCACAAGGTTAACATTTACTGATCCAGCTAAACCTCCATAAACTTGTTAGCTCGCCTTAATCAACTTCAGCATTCCCTTTCAGCAGGGGGCATGCTCAGATAAGAACTAGCTTTAGTTCCTGTGTCTCCTGCTCATAAAAGCTCGAGGAGAATGCTAAAGCTATTTATGCACACGCCCACTGGGAACCTCTCTCAGACATAATTGCTTTGAAATAAACTGGGAGAGAGAAGATCTAAATACACAGCTTTGATATACAGTAAATATGTTCTTTCATCAGGATCTTCTTTTCCTTGCTGCTTATTCATTTAGAAGAAACTGTCACAGCTGAAATGCACAAATTGGTAAATACAAGATTTCCTTTAAGAGGTGCATGATACATGCGCTGGGACAGGGGAAGAAATAAAGGCATCCCTCAAACAGACAGTTCTTCAGTGTGCTTGTGGGAAATGAAGCACAGTCAACACAGGCCTGAAGGTTCATTTCTTAACTCTCATCAATGCCGCTCTCTACTGCTCTGGCCAGTTAAGGGGGCCTTAAGGTTTCCACAAGTTCTCCGATCAAATCCCTTATTTGAATTATCCCTTGGAATAATTCAACTACAGAGTCTGTACAAAAACCAGAACGGGCATTAGCTGGAGGTCTCTCACTCTACAGGCAAATTGAATGCAGGCATCCACGAGGGGGTACATGACAGAGGAATGATACTAGGAAGGTTTGCCTTCAAATCCGTTTTGCAGACTTTAATGAGCAAAGATTTATGAAACTTTTCATACCAGACAAGGGATAACCTTTGCCCTCATCCTCCAAGACACGAGTGATACCGGCTCTGAAATACTAGGAGTTTGTAAGACCTGTAACCTTGTTTTCACTTTGGGCAGGTCACTTCAGGAATGGATCCAACTCTTTTTAAAATAGGTTTTGCAGAAGTCAGGTGTAGCTATCATAGTTGTCTTGCCCATATAACTCTCTATACCTCATGATGGTCTAGAGGCCTGGACTGGCAGAGACACTTTCAGGGTTAGTGGCATGTTATTTCATACTGGAAGGGAACAATAGCAAGCAAGGACTTTGGAGCCCTTTCTGATGAAAGAAAGATACAGCAGACCTAAATCTGCAGCTGTATGACTGGCAGTTGTCCTTGTTCCACTCCCAGGGAAAAACAGCAAACTCAGGGAGTCAAACATTAGCTAATATGGGCTTGATCGTGAACTCTTTACTCAGGCAGAACTTCTACTGAGAGTTTTGCCTGAATAAGGCATGCAAGGCCAAGCACTGAAAAAGCAGAAGGGAGACCTGTGGGCAAGAATAGGAAACACAGATTAAACAATCTGTCGTAGGTCAAAGGTTACTTGTAGATCAGTTACCACTAGGGGCTAAAACAGCCTGCTCAATACCATCTACATGCTACTTCAAATTGCTTGGACTTAATGCTTAATCTTCCCTGTACTAAAAGTTTAGGCCTAACACAATAAAAATATAATGCTTGAACAGTGATGGCCTGTCTCAAATTTCACATAGCTTGCAACTTCGCAGAACTTTGAGAGAGGACACAAGGTCTGTGAAATTCAAGTTCAAAAGCAAGTCAGACTGCACAGCACAGGAAAGCAGGGTCAGATGCATGCCCCCAGTTCTCCAGACTTCCATCTGTCTTTCCCTCTTTGCTCTAATTGTTCCTCTTTGGGAAAGCAGGAAT